CAACAGTACCTGAAGCAGAAAATTTTTGTGCCAATGATTTTTGTGAATCCAAATGATGTTATAATTTGAAGAGCTTGATAAGCCATTCCCACAATAGATGAAATCAAAGACTGTAATTAAATCTTTGAAAGAAATAAAGCATCAGGAATTGATTTGTCTTCTAAGATGAATACTTTATAGAGTCATTTGCCATACTAAATGGGCACTTAACAGACCTTTTTAACGCAATTTTGTGTTTTTTCAGGTTATTTTCCCAGAACAATGGGGTCTAAGGTAAAAATTGTACTTTACATAAGAAAAATGATATAAATGATGTAAATAACTAGCAGGGGCATCACGCTTGTTAGTTGTTTAGCTAAGATTTTCACTGGACTGCTTAATAATAGAATAAAAAGATGGGGTGAATGTAATAATGTTTTAGTGATTAACCAGTTTGGTTTTAGATCAGGCAGATCTACAGTAGATGCAATCTTTGTATTAAATTTGCTGTTTGTGGGCAAAAAATTTTGAATGAGAAAGGCCGGTTATATTGTGCATTTTATCGACTTGCAAAAGGGGCTTTTGATAGTGTTTATTTTAAACGGTTTATGGATTAAGCTATTTAAGCTTGGAAATTTAATGGCAAAATGTTGAATATTATTAGAAGTATGTATAATACATTTAAATCATGTGGTCCAATGTTGCAACTCTTATTCTTGAGTTTTTTGGAATGTGCAGTTGGTTTAAAACAGGGAGAAGTTTATGTCCCCTTTATTATTTTCATTATTTATAGAAGACTTTTAGAGTTATTTTTGCAAGAAGATTACACTTGTGGCCTTACGATAGATGACATTACCCTCATTTTTGATGCTTTTTGCTGATGAATATGGTTTATATTAGGTAGAACACCTTTCAGAACTTCAAAAACACTTTGATTATGCTGAAAATGATATTGTGATAAACATGGGGATTATCAGTAAACACTAGCAAAAACTAAAGTAAATGGTTTTTTAGAAAACGTGGGAATACAAAGCAAAAACTGAAACATGGAACCTATGCTGGCAATAGCTTAGAAGTTGTAAATGATTTCCAATTACCTTGGTACACGTGTTAATTATACTGGAAACCTTTGCATCTAATTCAAGAATACATAGCTGGGAAAGGACTCAAAGCCCTTAATATCTTAATGACTAAAATTAAAGCTTATAAAATAACCCACAGACTGTGTGTCCCAACTCTTTGATGGCTTTTTAGGTTCAATTCTAAATTATGCTTTGTGAAATATCTGGCGGTTTTTCTAAATTCAAAAAGAAATTTGAACGAATGACATTTAAAGTTCTGTAAACAACTACTTAATGTTAAAAAACTTCAACCAAGTAACATGGCCATATATGGGTGAATTAGGTAGATATCCTCTTTACATAAAACAGATATACAAGAATGATAAAGTTTTGGTGTAAAATATTGACATCTGATAATATTATTATAAATACTCTGTATAAAGAATTATGTAAATCAGTAGATACTACAAATGTTAGGAACTGGGCAACAAAATATTAGGTCCTTACTAAATGACTTTTGGTTTTTCCATATGTGTGGAATAATCCTAATGCTGTTGTGAATATGAATACTTTCCCAGACATTTTTAGGCAGAAAGTATATATATGATGTCTTTGCACAGACATGGTTCAATTCTGTAAAATAATTCAGAAAAACTTTATTTATATAAACACTTTAAAACATGTATTGATTTGAAATTTACCTGAATGTGTTGCCTAGCACCCTTCGGAATTCACTGTCCAGATTAAGGTTGTCATCCCACAAAAGCTACGCATAGAAACTGGTAGATATGCACAGAACCGAATAGAACGAAAACCAGCGTTATTTAAACTATCTGTAACGAAAGAGATATAGAGGATTGAATACCATTTTGTTATCAAATGTAAAAGCCTACATGCCTTTAAGACAGATGTATATAAAAACCTTATTTCTATAGAAATCCTAGCGTGTATAAATTCAAGAATTATTACAGTCAAAAAAGGTTGGTGTAATAAAAAAATTAGGTAAATTTGTTTAAATGAAGGCGTTTAAGCTTAGAGAAACATTAAATTGACATGAAATATTTGTGAAATGTAAATGTATGATACCTGTTTTAAAAAATAATTCAACATGCACAGGCCTGCATTACTTTTGTATGTTTTTTTTTTTTTTTTTTTTTTTTTTTTTTTTTCTACAGTACGTGTAAAAATTGTAAATAATAGATAATTTTTAATGTTATAATACAGTAAACTAAATTTATGTCTAGATTTGGTATCTGTTCATGGTATTGTAAGATTTTATGGTTTTTTTTGTTTGTTTTTTTTCTCTCTGTTTTTTCACTTATAAAAATGACTATGATATATATGTTTGTAGAATTATGTACAAAGATGTATATCATAGAGATGTATTATAAGTTTATTTCATGCAGCGACATTTGCTAACAAAACATAGTCACAATCTATGGGCTTTTTACATAATTTTGGAATAGTGTTTACATCATGTATATATAAACTTGTACATGTGTACTATACATCAGTTGAAAATTATCTAATATCATGTTATATTACGGGGCAATGCTACGCTTGCAATATTTTTTGGAACACCTGCCTGTACATTATGTAAACCCAAACTGGTCATTATTTTTAACTTTACCACTCAAATATATATCCATTTAATGGCGCCCGGTCAAATATGTTGAAAAACATCGAAAATCTTTTTCCAGTCATGAAGCGGATCTGGCGCAAAAGAAAGGCCCGGACGGTTTATTGATTTTCTTTGGGTCTCCATATTTGGCATGGGGACGGTTTAATGGTTTTGGTTGATTTAGTAAATAACAATGACGTTTGCATAAAGTTTATTGAATGGGAAAGGAGGTGTTTACTTTCGGTTTTCCTTATTGGGGTTTGTTTTACTACGGGAAATAGCTTACGGGTATTCTGACCCAATTACGGATATATTCACTGAATTTTTACACCTTTCATGTATTATGTAATGGACCGAATGGACCACTCTCACTCGAATGCTTGAATTGACTTGTTCATTATTTAGCAGTTATGAACTTGATTATTTATATAATGATTTATGTACATTATGTTTGTGTATATGTATATGACGAGAAACTATGTAGTTTAAGTCAATAAAATGTTCTTCTTCTTCTTCTTAAAATATCTGTTTAAAGTACTTTCAAGTTATAGAATTATTGTTAAAATAATCGTTTGATGTATATATGTTTTTGTATGTTATATTTACATGTATATTGTATATATTTTTCTGTTGTCTTGGCCATCATGAATGTTATTGTAAATGGCCAAAGGCATTTTCTCATGCCGATTTAGCCAATATAAACTGTATAAACTGATATTATTATTTGTATGTGTAAAATAAATTCATGTACCGAATGTGTTATATTGGTAAAATAAATTCATGTACCGAATGTGTTATATTGCTTAAATAAAAATTGCAATGATCGAAGTTCATTCTTTATCCTCGTTTTTATTACTGCACAATATTACTATACATTATCATTATCTATTTTATTTATAATTTTATCTCACACATCATTCTACACTATATCTATAGCGCCCGCTTTTTTCCTCTGTATCTATATCGTCCGCTTTTTCTCTATATATTTATATTGTCTGCAAAAATAGGGCAAAGAGCGGACAGGTTCAATCAGGTAGCGTGTTGTTGACACTCAATTGTCGTTAATTTGCAACACGTGTCCGTCACAAGAGTATACGTTCTACTCTAAACTCTAATTCTAAAGACATTCATTTGATCCATTTGTTTCATATATTAGTTTTCAATATTTAGAAATTCCGAAAATGTGTCATATATAAATATATCGAAGTTTCATTCTTGTTCATTCTTTATCCTCGTTTTTATTACTGCACAATATTACTTTACATTATCATTATCTATTTAATTATAATTTTATCTCACACATCATTCTACACTATATCTATAGCACCCGCCTTTTTCCTCTATATCTATATCGTCCGCTTTTTCTCTATATATTTATATTGTCCGCAAAAATAGGGCAAAGAGCGGACAGGTTCAATCAGGTAGCGTGTTGCTGACACTTAATTGTCGTTAATTTGCAACACGTGTCCGTCACAAGAGTATACGTCTACTCTAAATTTCTATATCGTCCGCTTTTTTCCTCTATATCTATATCGTCAGCGTTTTCCCTATATATCTATATTGTCAGCGTTTTCCCTATATATCTATATTGTCAGCGTTTTCCCTATATATCTATATTGTCAGCGTTTTCCCTATATATCTATATTGTCAGCGTTTTCCCTATATATCTATATTGTCAGCGTTTTCCCTATATATCTATATTGTCAGCGTTTTCCCTATATATCTATATTGTCAGCGTTTTCCCTATATATCTATATTGTCAGCGTTTTCCCTATATATCTATATTGTCCGCAAAATGCGTATCATGTTATAGCTAAGTGCCGACACGATTAATCAGTAGCGTGTTGTTCACACTTACATAATTACCGTTAATTTGCAGCACGCTTCTGCTTATATTGTATCAATAAAAAACAACAGCCTGTCATTACTTATTTATATCAATAATTTATGATTAAAAATTACTCTTACAAACTTTGGATTTTGAAAAATCAAGGCTTTTTTTTTGTTTTGCGAACAAAAATTTTTTCCGTCTACTGCACATAAAGACATACAAAAACAATGCCAAAATGAAATACATATCCTTAATTACATATCAGCTGTTGCCAATTTAGTACCATCATTGTAATTCTAAAGATATTCATTTGATCCATTTGTTTCATATATTAGTTTTCAATATTTAGAAATTCCGAAAATGTGTCATATAAATATATAATATAAAATTCATTGACATTCAATCACAAATTACTTTAATATTTCTCCCAGTTTGCTAATTTATTATATTTTTTTATATATTAAAGTATAAATCCAATTACACGTCATTTTTATATACTTCATCAATGCCCAAAATCATCACCAATTAGTCTACACTATATATCTATATCGTCCGCTTTTTTCCTCTTTGTCTATATTGTCAGCGTTTTCCCTATATGTTTATATTGTCCGCTTAAGGCGTCCGCGTTATAGACAGGCCCACAAATATGTCAATTCCTTGTTGGCACACGTGTACGTAAATCGTCTTTAGCGTATCTTATTAGTTTTGGTGCCCGGGCCTCTTTCAAGAATAAAGTTTAGCTCTGCTTGAATGGTTGCTTGTATTTACATGTACTTCGTCAGGAAGCTAAACCTAATATTACCATTTAATGAATTAAGTATTGCTTCACTAGATTGTTACAACAATATCAATATTTAGTCAGATATAGCGCACGAAATCATTATAAGAAATAATGGTAAAGATTCGAATATATTTCCGTCTGTCACAAAACTTGTCCCCACTACTCCTTATAACTACTGGGGCAATTTCATCCTAACTTTACAGGAATTTATGTCGCCACTACTCCAATCACTTCTCCGTCTGTCACAAAACTTGTCCCAACATGAAATTGGCCATCATGAGGCGACACATATGATCATTGATCGCTCTTGTTTTCTACAACATTTTGTAATGTTTACCTGCCACCGCTTCTTAACGTCATCTGATTGGCTAAATACATCTACAAAAAGTTTCTTCCCCTGGTCCCTCTCTTTTTCTGTTGCAAGATTCCGGTCCCCGGCTGATACCAGTTGCTGGGAGTTGGCCTTGGGTTGCAGATATTGGTCCAGGTTCAAGTTGACCTTGGCGGCTGTGCCAGTGGCTGACAGCAATATTTATTCATCACTTAAATAAATACATGAATAGAAAGTAAAATTTAATCTTACTTTGTCCCTAGTAAATTATTGATATGAAATATATTTCATTGCGGAGCCAAAATTTCCAATATTTTAACAATCAAAGTATGAGTGAAAATTTTTCAACACAATAGTAGTTAAACCTTTAGTCATAAGTTTAATCAAAGGCCAGTCTGAACAGCTCGGCAGTGTGACCATGATCTATGCTGTTTGTTGACCAACTTCAAATTTATAACTTCATATCCCTATAATTGATAATGTAAAGTTACAAAACTCAAAGTTGGACAAGTTCATTCAAGTAATTAAGTAGGTTATATATATTTACTTGAAAAAATTATGTACAAGACCTTCATAAATATATATATATATTTACCAGATAGAAGTTAATTCACAGTAACCAATGACGGCATGACAACCCATGGCGCGGGTATGCGAACGAATCTCAGTACGTATCTCATTCCACAAGGCATCTCTTGCCTCCGGCTCCTCTATAATTAAAACATAATAAATTTGAGCCGCGTCACGACAAAACCAACATAGTGGGTTTGTGACCAGCATGGCTCCAGACCAGCCTGCGCATCCGCGCAATCTGGATGCGCAGTCTGATCAGGATCAATGCTGTTCGCTTACCAACTCTATTACAGGTGGGGAAACTGACATCGAACAGCATGGATCCTGATCAGACTGCGCGGATGCGCAGACTGGTCTGGATCCATGCTGGTCCCAAACCCACTATGTTGGTTTTGTCATGGCACGGCTCAATTATTATATACTAAAAGTGCTTTATATATCATAATTTATTACTTGGCATCATTTGTATTTTTTGGAACAAATTTGAAATTTTTGGAAAAATTGACTCTAATCTCGAGACGTGAAGCTTTAAGATGAGCGTGACTAAAAAAAGTGTTGGAGCACCACACTTAGTACCGTATTATATACCGGACAAGGTGCACCACACTAAATACCGTATTCCAGTATATACAGGACATTAATTTAGGCGCTTGGATGATCAAATGCTGAAATCTCGCCTTTTCAAATATCAAAATGCACTATAAGATGTCTAATTCACCTGTTAACACCGATTTATACACGATAATAAATGATAAAATGTAAGAATCAGCAAAAAAATTATATTCTTCTACTCCATGATCAAGATATATGCAACGCACCTACAAGAACTGCCCTAACCCTGTGAGTTAAATCCCTTTAAGATCTAGTGAAAAATGACAAACAACAAAATTTATACAATGATTAATACTAAATACAAACCTGGATTGTGTATTTTATCTAGAAGTTTAATGGATCTGGCAGCAACCACACCACCTATATGTATGATAAAACCAGGAGGAAAAGATGTCATTGTAAACAATGGATACTCCTGAAACAAAAAAGTGAAAACAAATGTCATAAGAAGTTATAAACTAAAACCCTTTTAATTCAAATACCATTCTCAAGAATATCAAGTGTCTTAAGTTTTTATTTTTTGTTTAAAAAAAAAAGAGGGTTTTTTTCATAATTCCTTCGATGTATTATGTAAATTTGCCTAATGCAAAAGGTAACCTGATGGCAAATGAAATGCTATTTTTTCTTTTGAGTGTTTACAAATAAATATCATAAATCTTCATGTAAACATATAACTGCCTGGCATAACTTAAGTATTGATTATGAAAGATCAAGGCCCATTGTGTTTTTCAAGCATTATTTTCAAATAAATCTTAGATCCACTCCTTACACTATCTAGTATTCAGCATGATTAAGGTTAAGGGAACACATTAAGTAAATAAAAACATTCTAAAGAAGAAAGAAAATAAGGAATATAAGCTAGCAGGCAAGATGTCAAGTTCATGAATTCAAGGTCATACCATAAGTTCAATATTAATTTGCTGCGAGCATGGTTTGGGGAAATTTTTGGTTCCGCTTCCGCTCCCACTTCCACTGCTTCCTGCAAGACTGCTCCCTAAAACATGTAACAATGTTACACATGTATTTGATAATGAAACATCTATAGAAGATTGGTAGCTAAATTTTCTATTATATTATGTACAATCTACTTTGTTTTTATATAGAAACAAAAATCTTATAATATCTAATACTCTTGTAACTGTAAATTCAGACAGAAGTGGAAATAAGATGTTATATTAATGGTTATATGTTTCATAAGATATATATAATACATATATACAGAAAGAATTTTATTTCTTTTTTATTGGTCGGCTTAAGTTGCACTGACCCAGGAAAGGTCATATGGCAATTTGCCAGCTTTAATGGCAGAGGAAAACTTTTTTATTTGTTTTTGTTTGGTAAGGTTTTATGGTTCAAATACCCTGTAAAGTTCATATGGTGCTTTTCCAGCTTTACTGGTGGAGGTGTCCCTCATTGCATGGAGTAACACTTTTCAATATCTTAAAGCAAACAACCAGGTACGTTAAGCCATTGTTTTCTGCCAGCTAGAAAGCTTTCCAACATGAATTTTTTTTTTCTACAGAATGATTTTGAGGCAAGACCTATTCAGTGGTGACACCACCAATAAACATATTCCTAATATAATGATCTTAGTGTAGGAATAAATTTCAAAATTTAAGTAAAACCACCAACTTTTAGAGATGAAAAAATCTAGAACTTACCTTTAGGCGGAGTGCTCATATCTGAATCTGAGGACCTCCTATTGTTGGGTGGTCCACTTGGAGGCCCTGTAACTTTCATAGGGGAGGTTGTACTACGTGCATGTGAAACTGGTGGGGAGGAGGGCGCTAGGTTTTCCTCTGGGACAGGAGAGCTGTAAGTGAAATCAAAGGCAAAATGCGAACGCTCAGAGCTGTGATCTGATGGTGATAACTTAGACATGGGCGGAGCCGTTAGAGGATGGGTGTGGCTAATTGTGAGTGATCTTTGCCTGGTGAGCTAGGGGTGGAGTTATTTTTCTACAGTGTGTGCAACAGATGTGCTCATTTTAGTAGAATGACTGTTTGATGTGAGTGTGTTGGAAGGTACTGGTGTTAGGGGGTGTGAGTGAGGAAGGTGTAAAGAGCGTCTATGGGCGTGTGACTGGGTGTTACTGGTTATAACCAGTGGCATGCTGATATACAGAGCTGGCACGATAGGTCGCTGGTAACTGAAAAGAAAAGAGAAATGCAAAATGCACTAAATATCAGAGGATTAGTATTCTACATGTAACATATAATTCCAAGCAACAAGAAGTTTGAAAAAGACATTCTAGTAAAAAAAGGAGTAGATAAATGCAGAGCTAAACAATGTCAAACCAAGAAATCAGTCAACTTGCATGCATTTCTTAAGAATTCTCAATACAAGGAAAGCTATTTACTTAAGCTGCATATTTTTTACGAAGAAAGTATTTATTTGTATAATGCACTTGTCATATAGAAGGAGAATAAAAACTCTTTACACAAAACTACATGTACTGTATATGTAAGTCAAAAAACTGTTACAATAAATGTAAATAATAATATCCATGATGTCCTACTAAGTTTAAATCTGTTAAATGTGGCTGATAACAATTTATTGCTTTTTTCAGATTAACTCTGAAATTTGCTGAATTTCTTGAAAAGATAATATTAATTATGTTCCCTATCATTTTTGGAAAGGTCCATTATCAATTTTAGGGATTCATTGTAATTTGATGAAAATATTAAATTAGTCAGCCACTAAAATTAATTAAGCCTGGTCAGACTATATGGTTGTGGAGCATGGCGTTACTTTATACTGGTGGCAGAGGCTTATCATCTTTGATTCCAGTGGGTTAAGGATTAAAGGCTAAAAGACTAACAGACAGTTCCGATAATAATAAGCGATTCCGCTATGAAGTAAATGTATCCCTCTCATTGGTTAAAAATATCGGTCTTGGAACCATCCATTCAGTCATATCCTAGCAACTGTTCCTAGATTTAATACCAGTGACCTTAGCTGCTTTCCCCACTAGTGTATATTAACTTCTCTACATGTTTTTCATTGCAATCCATGGTAGATTATAAATTGATAGAAATATATTGCCTTCTACCACCGCAATTATTGTCATGGGAAAACATTTTGCTTGACACAGAACATAGACCTAGGATTAACAAAGGTTCAAGATGGGGATCATGGTTTACATTTCAAAATTTCTCCTTAAACTAAGCTCATAATATGTTTAATATTTAATTCAGAACTGAACTTTACTGTTTCTTTATTCAAAACTATACTATTATTTTCATGTTCAAATATTGAATTCTGCTTAAGCCAATGCTAAAGGGGGTGGACGGTAGCTTGCAATTTTACCACTATCGTCCATTACCAGGCTCAATCAAACCCAGCCTGCAAAATTTTTAATTTTGCCATTTTGGGCATTAAAATAAACATTTTGGGTGACAAATTCTATTTATTTCCTTAAATTTACCTATCAAGTTCAACAAACAATTCATCTTTAAGTAACTCAAATGCAATAATTTCAAACATCTACTTATAAAACTGTTCTTATTATCTTTAATACAAGAACCGGTTGAACCGGGTGATGCTCCCCGAGAAGGTTCTGGACACAGGAAAGTATAAAAAAAATGAACAAAGGGCAATAACTCCAAAATTAGACCAGGCTTTGTTTAGGTTCTTGAAGCGTTGCAGTTCTATCCAATTACATCTAGCTACCTTACAAAGTTTCATGTTGATATCTCTAATAGTTTTAAAAGTAATGTCCAGGACAAAAGTCAAAAAGTAAAATAAACAAAGGGCAATTTACTTCAAAATAAGGCAAGGCAGAGTAATGATTCATAAGCACTGCACTTCCACCCAATGAGACCTATCTATCTACAAAGTTTCATGTTAATATCTCTTATAATTTTAGAGTAATGTCCCAGACAAAGTTCAAAGTGTCAAAATGAACAAAGGGCAATAACTCCAAAAGTAGGCAAGACAGTGTTACAGTTCTTGTGCACTGCAAACTTACTCAATGAGATCTACAATGTGGCCATACCACGTGACTTTTCGGGTACGGAACACGCCGATTTTTCACCCGATTCAGGTATGTTTTTTATTCATAACTTATTTATTACTCAACCGATTTTGATCAGATAAGGCACAGAGTACCCGTAATTATATCAGCTTTCCACGGTATATAAAAATTCTGAAAACCCCTGAATGGTTTTTGAGAACATTCGAGTACAGTTTTCTTCTCATAGCCGGGGCCGGGGGAACGGTACACACTCATTTGTATAACAAGCGATTTCTTGCAAGTCATATGTTTTTTTGTCACTATTTCATAGAAAAATACATGTTAAATCTGATATATTTAAAATGTCCAATGTATCGAGTGAATGCAGTGATGTTTTAGCATATTTTCATAAAGTTATGTTGAAATGGTACGGAACACACTGTTATTTAAAAAGATACGGTACACACACAATTTCTGTCTTTAATAAAGTATATGAAAATTTAATTTGAATTATAATGTGAGTGATTTGTTTTCATAGTTATACATTTTATTAATTTAAACGAGAACCCTGGGATCTGTTTTGCAATGTATCATTATGCATACAGTTTGATGTAAACAGGATTACTAAAAAAAAATAAAAGAACATTTTGAGAGTACGTAGCGCAAAATTCGATTTTAAATGTTAAACAATTAATATTTGCCTATAAAATGTTAATATTTTAGGGAGGGATACGGAATACATTCAAAATTGTGTTTGTTTTGTTTTTCATTTGAAAAAATTCTGTATTTTTTTCGGAATATAAAACAAATTATGACATTCATGGACATCTGTTATGTGCGATTATTCTTCCATTTAATTTTTTGTTCGAGTCTAAACCGAGTATGAATATAAAAAAACAAAGAATCAGTTAAATGTTGATCGAATCTGGAGAATTTGGAGAAAAAACGCTGGTTTTGATGAAAGTGGATTTTTTAAATCACGGAAAGTTTAAAGTATTTTTCTGCAACATGATATTTGGTATGATTCATCTGCCAGGGTCCCAAACTAACTGCATGTATTTAATTATCAAATTATCTACATATGGACAAAGATATTCCGCAGTTTTACGTGCAATCAAAATAAAAAAAAAACGGATAAATTGAAGAACCCATATGGGAACAAGGTCTGTTATATAACGTAACGTAGTTTACACAAGGTAACCTTGTTACATATGCATGTAAGAAATTTTGGTGAAATTATGCCTATCTTGGACTTTCATTTAAAGATGCTTTAAAAACATGATTTCATGGATATGTGTGCTTGCGTGTTTGTGTTAAAAATAAAATGATTAAACAATGTCTCACGAGGATAGTGCACTCCAAGTACACTTTTGATATTTTTAATAATACCCATTTTGTAAATTAAATGCTATGGAGGCTGCGTTCTGTTTTATATACTACATGAAGTAGGTACGAGACAACCTATGACTTCGTTGTTTCGATTTTTTATGTGAGAAAGTTTTCTAACTACCGTAAAGAACGTCGGTCATTCTACTCAGGTGCCCGTTCGTACCTTTATATATACCTAAAGGGGCACTTGTAAAACTATAAAGTCGCCACATGATCATGTCATTATGTGATGTTTTAATACGCATTTAATTTTAATGTGTAATGTATTTGCATATATATGTGCATATATTTCATATATACACATACATATGCCCATAACATAACAGAATATGGTTTTAATTGTAAAATATGTATAATATCTTAAGTCTCCTATAATTCTACTTAAAGAATGGCTATGTACAATGTAATGTTTATCTTTTATTTTGAAATATATGTAATTGTACACAGATGAGACTAAAATAAATAAATAAATACATGTCAGTTTTGGTGAGCCGTGAAACCAAACCAAAAATGACCTATATTACCTGAATTAAAAGTTATTCTTAAAGCTTCATGCCTTTAAACATAAAAAATTTAAGCCATGGCAAGTACATTTTTATTTGTTTGGGTCGTCAGACCAAACAAATAATTGTAGCGAAATTTCAGACTCTGATATGCTTATTTGCAACATCAGAAAGTAGTCCGAACTCCTGGAAGCGGTTACTTACCTTTATAAGTACTCTAACGCCGAAAAAATAAGGGGAGATCACTGCGTAAAGATAGTCAAATGACAGGCGCATTAATTTTCAAGCCTTCTCAGGGGAAGAAAAGTACTTCCCTATTGGTCAAAGGTTTCAAATATTGTGTCATTTTTTACAGATATACATGCAATATTAAGCTCCATGATTATTTACTCCAGTGTTAAACGAAATAAATAAGGGTTACAAACACTAATTTAGAATGATATGGTTTCTTCAGGCTGTTATCGTGTAACTTCCCCGTGGTCGAGGGGATAATTACACGCTCGTTTAGAAAGAGAGAGAGATGTCCTGAGCTCAAATCCCATTTAAGGCAACTCATGTTTTTTTTTTTACTTTTGTTTTTTGGGTTTTTTTTTCAAGCCAAATGAACATTGAATTGAATATCAGTGTTGCAATAAGCATTATAGCCAATTTACTACAGTTATAAGACTGGAAACAGCATTGGTGGCACTATACAAAAACAAATTGGTTTGTAATGTCATAACCTTCACCTTTCTGACATTCTGAGACCCAAACAAATTCAGCGCCTTCTGTGTTTTGATTTAGCTGTACCTAGTGACTTACTTATTATCAACAAAATATAAATATATATAATGTTATCAAGTTATGATATTTTTCAGCGATTTAGGTCATGACATTGTTTTTTTTTTTCTTTTTCAGGAGGAAGCAAAAAGACATATCTTACACTTCACTAAAACTAAAAGAAATAAAAAAAAAACAAAAAAAAAA